TGGGTCCTCTAGATTCCCTAAACGGTGCAAATGGAAGCCAAGTGTCCCCACGGGCCTCTGGAGCATCCTGTGGAGACTGACACGTGACTCTTCCCTGAGTTCCAACTGTCACTGAATCCTTTGCCTCTGCACTTCACCCGGCTCTTCCCACTGCTCTCTTCTTCCTGTCTCGGTGTGCTTACCATGTCTGTCTTCCATGCTGCCTCCCCCAGGGGCTTACTAAAGGCTGGATGAAAAGGAGATCCTACCCCGGCCCAAAGCAGCACACGGCAGAGCGCTGAGTGTCAGAAATCACTCACCTACAAACTATCAGGCTCTCCCAGAGTCTGTAAACTCCGTGGGAGAGCAAGTGGGCCACCTGTGTTTTTAAACTAAAATGTGGCCAGAACACCATCATACCCATTCTATAGCTAGTGTCTTTGGCTGCTTCCATGCAACAATGGCGGAACCGAGTATGCAGATGCAACAGAGACTCAAAGATCCACAGCCCTGAAAATATTTACTAGCTGACCTTATGCAGGAAGAATCGGCCAATCACGGGACTGTGTTGTGTTGCTGCTGTGTCCCAGGGAGTCGATTCTGACTGACACTACGAAGAATCAATGACTTGCAACAACTGAAAAACAAACGCACTGCCCAGGACCTGAGGCCAACTCATAACGACCCTAGGGCAGAGAGTACATCCAGGCCTGAGGGTCTGAGACTAACTCCTTATGCGAGTGGAAAGCCTCATCTTCCCCCCACAGAGTGGCCGGCGGCTTCAAACAGCTGACTTTTCAGTTAGGAGCCCGACTCATAACCCACGACACTCCCAGGGCTAGTCTGTCCTTAAAGAGCCCTGGTGGCACAGTGGGTTACATGTGGGGCTGCTAACCATAAGGTCAGCAGTTCAAACCCACCAGCCACCCTGAGGGAGAAACGTGAGGCTTTGTGCTGCCATGAAGACTTCCAGTCTCAGAAGATTATGAAGCAGGTCTGCAGGGTCAGCTACTCTGAGTCAGAATTCACTCCGTGGCAGTGGATGTACCCGCTTTAAGCCTTGGCATGATCCCCTTCCCCAGGCCTTTCTCATCGGGCATGCTTCCCTTTTGTCCCACTCTTTACTGCAGTTAGTAGAAGGGCTCCTCGGCTTGACTCTTGGATTCCTGGCAAAACCAGAACTGTCGTGTTTTTTTATCGTGCAGTGCCGTTCATCCAGCCCTTGCTTAGTCTGGCTGCGTACAGGTCCTAAAATGTCCCACCCTGAAGGCCCTGCAGGGCACTTTCAGAAACAACCGTGCAATGTGCCCTCGAAGGGAAGTCAGCCACCATCAGTGAAAACAGAAGTCAAAGCACTACGTGTTAGGAAATGTCCTGCTTAGTAAGCATCCTCTTTTTCTTATCAATGTATTTGGTTAAGACTGGCACTTCAAACTTACAGGCACGTTAGAACTCTTTTTTAAAATGCACATTCACCATCGTAAATGCTCCGGAGGGTGGTGGGGTGTATCGTAGGAAAGAGTGAGGGTTGGGAGAGGTATTTTACAGTTAATCAAGACATACACAAACCCACGGTCGAGGAGTCCGCTCTGACTTCTCGGGACCTTAGAAGGCAGAGGTGAACTGCTGCACAGGACTTCCTAGGCTGTGGAGCCTCACAGAAGCAGGCGGCCTCCACTGTTTTCTGTGGAGTGACTGGTAAGTTTGAACCACCACCTTCACGTGAGCAGCCAGGCCCTTAACCACTGCATCACCAGGGCTCATTAGATACTAGCAGAGGCAACTCGAATTTTTCTAAACATACTAACGTGGGTTAGTCATGTCCTGTTTTCTCCTAGAATAGGGATGAATTCACAATGCCCTGTTTATTGTCTGGGAGAAAGATGAAGCTGTCTACTCCCTTAAAGAGTTACAGTCTCAGAAACCCGTAGGGGCAGTTCTAGTTTGTCCAATACTGTTGTTAAGAGTCAGAATTAACTGGATGGCAGTAATTTG